CCACAGCTAAACCTTGAACTGAACTGAAATACAATTGCAGACAAGGAGGACTAGAGCAAAGGGATCTATACCAGGCTGGTGAAACCCACAGAAAGAGCTGACCTGAACAAGGGAGAGCTCTTGGTTCCCATACTGAAAGCTGGGAAACCAGCATGGAACTGATCCAGACCCCCTGAATATGGGTGTCAGTGAGGAGACCTCGGAAATCTATGGGGTCCCTTGTAGTGGATCAGTACTAATTCCTAGCCTAGGAATGACCTTTGGGAACCTATTCCACATGGAGGGATACTCACTGAGCCTAGACACAAGGGGGTGGGCCTAAGTCATATCCTAAATGATATGATAGACTCTGAATGCCCCCTACAGAAGGCCTCACCCTCCCTGGGGAACAGAAAGGGTATGGGATAGGTAGGGTGTTAGTGGGGGAGGCAGAGTAGGAGAGAAGGGAGAGGGACCTTGGATTGACATTTAAAAAAAATCTTCTAATTAAAATAAAAAAATAAACTTAATTTTAGCTCAAAAAATCATGTGTTTGTAGGTGTGTGGTTTAATATCAGAGTATTCAATTCGATTGTGTTGGTCTACTTGTCTATTTTTTGCCAATACCAAGCTGTTTTCAGGACTATGGCTCTATAATAGAGCTTGAAGTCAGGGATGGTGATGCCTCTAGAAGTTCCCTTATTGTTCAGGGTTGTTTTGGCTATGCTAGCTCAGACTACTATACCCAGAAAAGCTTTCAATCACTCTAGATGGAGAAAACAAGATATTCCATGACAAAACCAGATTTAAACAATACATATCCACTAGTCCAGTCCTACAGTAAGTTCTGGAAGGAAAATTCCAACCCAAGGAAGTTAACTACACTCACAAAACAAAACATAGGCAATAGATAATCCCGCTTTGCCAACAGCCAAAAGAAAAAGGGGCTAGGGAGTCCACACACAATACCACCACCACCACCAAATCCAAAACAAACAAGAATTAACCATCAGTGGTCATTAATATCCCTCAATATTAATGGTCTGAACTTGCCTATAAAAAGACACAGGGTAACGGTATGTATACAAAGGCAGAATCCATCCTTCTGCTGCATACAAGAAACACACCTCAACTTCAAAGACAGACAGTACCTCAGAGTTAAGGATTGTAAAAACATTCTCCAATCAAATGGACCCAAGAAACAAACTGGTGTATCAATCCCAATATCTAACAAATTAGACTTCAAACTAAAATCAATCAAAAGAGATGAAGAAGATCATTTCATATTCATCACAAGAGAAATCCATCAAGATGAAGTCTCAATTCTGAACATCTATGCCCCAAATACAAAGGCATCCACATTCATAAAAGAAACATTACTAAAACTCAAATAAGACATAAAACATCACACACTTATAGTGGGAGACTTCAACACCCCACTCTCACCACTAGACAGGACCACTAGACAGAAACTTAACAAAGAAACACAGGAACTAACAGAAGTTATGACCCAATTGGGTTTAACAGACATCTATAGAACATTCCATCCAAACACAAAAGAATATACCTTCTTCTCAGGGCCACATGAAACCTTCTCTAAAATCAACCACATACTTGGCAATAAATATAGCAAACCTCAACAGATACAAAAAAAATGGAATAATCCCCTTATTTTTGATAAGAGGTAAAAATTATGTTTTGAGAGATAAATGGACTAAAGAGACGAGAGAAGGATGATTCTATAAGCGTGTCTGTATTTATGCATCGAGCTCTGGACACTCTGGGGTACCTCTGCCCACCACCCAAGGCCTGTTCACTCAAAGGGGAGTCTTGATAATTCAGTGTTGACTTCTTTTGGGAGGCACTGCTTTTTGACAGAGAAAGAACTTCAGCCACTCAATTTCCTTCAGTTCAAAATAATTTTTATATTTCCAGGGCCTGTTGCAGATGAGTTCAACCCTGAGCACATAAAGATACACTTCAGGCTCAAGAGAAAAGTGGAGGCATTGCATGCTGAGTGTTTGAAGGTAAACATCTGATCTGGTGATCTCACTTTGTCACCTGCTGGTGGTCATGGCTCTAGATTCTTCACTTCTAAGTCCTGGAAGCTAAAATGCTAGCAACAACATTCCTTGTGCTCCTTTATTTTTCATTGTTGACAAGAAAGAAGAACTAAAACACTTTAAATTGTTTTTAGAAATAAAAGTAAATGCTTTAGAAGGAATTAAAATGGGTATTCTACATGACAGCTTCAGAAACTGCATGCACCAAGTATTATAACTGGACCAGCCGATGAAGGAAAATTATAACAATATCACAGACTCAGAATTAGAAGGGAAACTGGTATTTCATTCATCTTAGACACATTAACACAATTTTAAATGATTTCAATTTTATTTATATGTAGATAATATATTTGAAATTTCTAGTAAAGGAAATATTTTAAAGCTAGTATAGTACCACAATTTCTTTTTATTCATTAAAGGTGTCAGATGGAAACTAATATAGAAAAAGAAAAATAGTACATACATTATTACAGAATGGTCAAAGTCAATGTATTATTGAGTCTTTCATATTGTTCAAAACACATTTTAAAATACTGGTAAATTTTATAGCTTTAAATATTAGTTTTAAATTCTCAAATATCTTAGTAGATCTTCATTACTCTATTTTACATATACCTTTTGAAGGCATGCATAGTTTTAGTTTTTTTTATATTTTAATAAGCCTACAAAGTAACCATTTTCTTGTAACATTTTCTACCATGCTTGGTTTTTGTTGACACTCCCATGCCTGGTTTTTAAACTCACCTTCCTCACACCATCCCCATTATAGCCTTCTCAATATCTCCCCTTCTATTTTATTGATATTTTCATATCAAATGTATATGTTCTATTACCCAATGCCTCACTTAAAGGGTCTTTTCCCTCCTCAACTCATGTTCACCTTTCTTGTTCCTGCCCTCTGTCCACATGTTTCCACATAAATGTTCACATTAAACCGTTAGAGGCCAGGATCTGAATAAGAGAAAACACAGTATTTGTCTGTCTGGGCTTGTGTTATTTCACTTAATATAGTATTTTATGGTTTCATCATTTTCCTACAGATTTCAGTTTCATTTTCATTTATGGCTGAATAAAATTGTTATGTGTTTATAGATCACAAAGTCATCACCCAAGGTTGTGTTGGTGGAAATCTAGGCTGACTCCATGCCTATGCTGTTTCAAAAAGAGCAGCAACAAACATGTATGTGGAAGTATTCTGTAGCAAGATGTAGAAAGCTTTGTGCATATGGGCTGGACTCCTGTAACTGGTGCATGTGGTAGTTATATTTTCAGTGTGGACATCTCAAGAAACCACATTGCATAACTTTTATCTTTGAAAACTTGTATTTAATTTTTTACTGTTATGTTTATGTCTCCTCTGAGCATTATAGATTTGAGAATAATTTTCTTACTTTTATCAAATAAGATCTATATACATTTATGAGGTACATTTCAGTAAGTTAGTGTCTGTATAAAACATGTAATAATCAAACCAGGGTAATAAGCTCTTACACCTTTTAGGCCAGTAACAATTTTATGTGCTGAGAATTTTGGACTTTTCTGTATGCATTTCAAAATATAACAGAGAAATTTCTATATTATATCAGCATGTAAAGAGCTTACTGGGAGGGCATTATTACCTGAATTTACGTGTGTGTAGTCCAGGCCCAGTAACAGAAGCCTATAATTGTGGTGTGGGAAAGGTGGAGAAAGGAAGATACTTGTGGTTTTCGGGGCAGCCATTCTGGCTAAATCATAGAGTTTTAGTTTCAAAAGAAAGACCCTGCTGTGGATTAGTCCTTTTGTACACAGTGAAGATTTGTCACTCATGTTGGTTTAATAAAAAGCTGGCTGGACGGCAGTAGACAGTGAGTATAGGTGGGACAGCCAGACACAGGAGGCTGGAAAGAAGGAGGGCAGAGTCAGACAGAGAGTCACCAGACAGAGGGAGAGTAAGAAAGACATACTGGAGAGACAAAAGCCATGAGTCCTGGAACAGCTCCTAGATTCATAGAAATGGATTAATTTAAGTTGTAAAAGCTAGTTAGTCTTAAGTCTGAGCTATTGACTAAGCTTTTTAAACTAATATTAAGTGGTAATTTGGGAATGGGCTGTTGGGACAGAAAAACAGGTAGAGAAGGATTGAGGACGATATTTGACATTGACATCCATGTCCACAAACATTGTGGCATACATGTAACACACACACACACACACACACACACACACACACACACAGCACATATGCATACTGTTACTTTCCTCTGTAGCAGCAGTCTGCCTCTGCCACCAAAGCAGTTACGCCATCACCTGTCACAAGGTGCCTTTCCCCCTTCAGCTATGCCACATGTGCACCTTTTAAAATGCCCACCAACACAGCTCTCTCTCTTTACCTCTCTTGTCAATTGTCTCCCTTGCCTCTATCTCCTCTTTGTCTCTTCTCTTCTCCCTTGCCTTTCTTTTCTCTTTTGCTTGTCTTCTTTCTCTTGTCTGTCTATTGCTCTCATGACCCCACTCTGACATGGCCTTTCACTCTTTTGCTCTCTTCCTCCCCTAGTAAACCTCTTGCACTAACTCTGCTGTGCATGGTGTTTTGCTTAGTAACATACTATATAGTAGGGCACACCAAAAGATACCCACTGTTACCTTTCTTGTTATTATCCTTTCATATTCAGCACAGCTTGTTTAACAGGTAGTTATCTTCTCCTGCTGTGGAAGAAGCAGAGATAACTCATTTACTCTATCATTGGCCTGCTTTTTGAACTTGTCCTTAAAGTTGTTCCCCGTCGGCCTCTGGTAGTGGATCAGTATTTATCCCTAGTACATGAATGGACTTTCGGAGCCCACTCCACATAGAGGGATACTCTCTCAGCCTAGACACATGTGGGAGGGTCTAGGCCCTGCTCCAAATGATATGACAGACTTTGAAAACTTCCCATGGAAGGCCACACCTCCCCTGGCAAGCAGAAAGGGGTTTGGATGGGGGGCAGGAGAGGAGGGGAGTGAGAGAGAACTGGGATTGATATGTAAAACAAGCTTGTTTTTAATTTTAAATTGGTCTAATTAATTACAATTATAAAAATAAAAATAAAAGAGGTTTTCCTGTCTTAAGTGATCTCTATTCCATTTTGCTCTTGTCAAAGATCTTGTCTCATACACTCAAGAGAATATGCTGAATTTATCTTTCTCTTTCTTGCTTGGAAATAGTTTTTTTAGCTACTTGTTTATTTACTACATTTTATTGGACATAAATACATAACTTCATTAGTTACATTAAATTATTTCTAGTTTTAGGCAATTACATCTGTTTGCCATGTGAATTATTGCTTTCATTTTCACTATTCCTATTACTCTTATTCTGACCATATTTCCACCTTTGAATTTGAGTTAAAATGATCTTCACAAGATCTAATGAACAGTGGAATGCAAATTTGAATGGCACGTGTTTCTTCTCCATCTGGGCATTTCCAGAATTATAGAACCATATTTTTCTCTAAGATCTTAGCTAATGTTTTTCTCTAGTCTCTGTAACCACAGTTCTGCATGAGAAGTCTGGTCCTATTTTTAGTCCCTTAACTTCTGTAGGTAACTTGTCAAAGTAATAATATCTTACTAAAAGTAAGGATAATTGAGAACTCATACAGTAACATACTGATGTCCTGTAAGATAATGCAGGTATCTTACAAAGGTAAAAGTAACAACTTTGATTTTTTCATTAGCTTGAGTTCCCTGGTTTAAATCAATGAGAGAAAAGCACCTCTAGGGAGAAATCTGCAAGTAAAATGGGCACCTTAGGAAAGAGTTTGACTCGATTTGAATATTTCCCTTATTTATTTTTGTTTGTTCATTTGTTTTTTCTTCTCTCATACATAACAACTTGACTTTAGTTTACCATTCCTCCACTCCTATCAGTTCTCCTGCCACCTCCCTTCTCCACTGGATCCATTCCTCTTCCTTCCCTTCAGAAAAGAGCAGGCCTCCCGGATATCAATGGAATATATCACAACAAGATGCAATAAGACTAGACACAAACCGTCATATCAAGGCTGGATAAGGCAATCCAGTAGGAGTAAAATTGTCCAAAGAGCAGGCAAAAGAGTCAGAGACAAAACCCACTCCCAATGTTAGGAGTCCCCAAAACCACCACAAAAGGTATACAAAATTAACATACATGTGGAGTACTTAGCTCACATCCATACAGACTCCATGACTGTTACTTGGAGTCTCTGTGAGCTCCTATGAGCCCTTCTTAGTTGATTTTTGTGAGCCATGTCCTTCTGAGGTACTTGACCCCTCTGGCTTCTAGAATCCTTCCTCCCTCTCTTCTGAGCAGTTCTCTGATGTCTTCATTTTGTTTAGCAGTGAGCCTCTACATCTGCTCCCATCACTTGCTGGATGACACCTCACTGAGATGATAGTTTTGGAGATGAGCTACGAATATAGCAGAGTATCATTAAGAATCATTTAATTGACTTTTTTCTTTTTCTTTTATTTTGCCAGTTGTTTTTGGTTCTATCTAGGTCTTTGGGCTATCCAGTCACTAGTTCTTGGCTCTCCAGGCAGTATATCTTATGTGGGTTCTCTCTTGTGTCATGGGCCTCAAGTTGGACCAGTCATTGGCAGGCCACTCCCACAAGATCTTCACTGTCTTTACCTCAGCACACCTAGAAGATAGGGCAGATAATTTGTCTAAGATTTTGTGTCTGATTTGATGTTCCAGTGTTACCATTGGAAGCTTTGCCTGGTTACAGAAGATGACGTATTCAGACTCCATATCCCCCATTAGAAGTAGTCTTCACTAAGTTGACCCTCATTGATTCCATGGGGTTCCCATTGCACTAGGTTTCCTTATCACAAATGCCCCCAAATTCTATCCATCTCTCCCAATACTCTCTCCCTCCATACCCCATCTTTCCTGTTCCTGTCCCCACCATCTCTTAGCTCACAGGCAAAATCTATTCTATTTCACCTTCCCAGGGAGATACATGCATCCCTCTTTGAGTGTCCCTTGTACTGGAGTGAATAGTTTATTGAGAAAAAGGAGCCATAGATACTTGCTGTGTCACTGTGTCTGTCTTTCTCTGAATTCTTAGGATTAAGGTTGCAATGAATTTCCACGGGCTATACATTACTTAGAAAATGATATTACAAAATAAAATTGATGCTTATATGAAAGACATCAGAAATGACACAGGGTATGTATGTGTGCTTTAAAAATATTTCTTAAAACTCCCTGTGTACCCTTATATATCCCCTTTTGTTATAACTTCCAAATGTGAATTTATAGAATTATAATTGTTATCAACCTTTCAGCATAGGAGGAGAACCAAAAGGATACAGAGAGTTCAGTTACTTAAAAAAAAAACCTGGGATTCCAATACAAACCTTGTAAAAATGAGAAAAATGAAGTAACACTAGAACTGGGTGTCATGGACCTATAGTTTCAGTACTTGAGAGGCTGGTGCATGAGGACTGCAATAATGAAAGCCAGCTTGGATTATAGAGTAAGTCCCATATGAGCATTGACCATGTAGAATTACCATACCTCAAGAGTATAAAAATTGTACAGGACATACACATATTTGGAGACATCATATGTTTTTAGAAAGTTGATCTGGTTATTGCTCCTGGATGATTTTTTGCTCAAAATTTTAAAGCTAATTGAAGGCATTTGAATCAGCAGTGAATTTTGATCAATTTCAATTTTTGCTTGTCTCTTCATTAACATTTTGTAATAAAATTATGTATTAACAAATTGATATACATTAGAATAGACTAAAAGCAATTTATAGAAAGATATGTTCTAAGTTCGTTGCAGTGTGTAATCTCTAGTTGAAATCAACGATATATTGTATTAACTTAGTTTTCACAGAATCTAGATAAACAAAGATCAATTGATGATATATGTAAATGGATAAATCAACTGTATCATTGTTCTCAATGGACACAAAGAAGCAATGTTAATAACACTGCTGTCACAGGTAGCTGAGAAGAGAATTTGTTTTTGTTCCTGTAGTTTCCTGTATTGTGAGACTTTCTCAAGTCCTCATTGATTCTCTCCTGCTGTATTCCATTGAGTCAATAGGTAAATGTGATTTGGGCTAGAAGAATATTAGGCATACATTTCTTATAGTTTCTCTTTATTATTAATCCATTCTTCTTAATGCAAGAGAGTGAAGGAGAATTTCCTAGCAGAATTTGGGTACAGGAATGATAATTTGCATTATAATGCCCCACATGTCTCTTGCATTGGTACATCCCAACTGCTAAGACTTGATAAGTACTGCTGGGGCTTGACAAATATCCCCATTATGGCTTGCCCAAATCCATACCAGCATCTTCAACAAAAGTCCTATAGAAAACCAAGTCAACAGATGCAAATATTAAAATATAGAACATCATTTGTGGGGTTTAATCTATGGGTCTTTTAAAAATAATTTCTCTGGATCATCTGTAAGAACTCACTTTAGCTTTTTGTTGTATTTGAGGGGAAAGCTCACTGGCAATAAAAATTACAATTAATTAATAATGTGAACATTTTTAATGGAATGCTTTAGGGTTGTAGGCTATTGGTAGATCAAATAAACAGGTGTTGAAAATTCTATTCTGGCTTACTTTTTGATAGCTCTATATGTTTGCATAAAGACAATAAGTTGCAAAATAAAAGCAGGCCATAAGTTGTGGAATGTTTCTAAGATATGAATGTAAGATTGGGAGTTTTCCTTGTCCATTCCTTGTGAAAACTTGCATGTTTCTCATAGATGAATTTGTGGCATTACATTATCATCTTAAAATTTGAGATAAAATAGGAGGAAGTCACGCAAGACTTCAGAAAATGGATGGAACATAACAATCTTTCCATCATTCCCTGATGCATTTATCACAAGTGTGTAGTCAGATTTGAGGCTGTTCTTAGCATTTGACGTACCAGCATTCAATAGTATGACTATATTCACTAGAAGACTTGAGAAATGTATAAACTGAAAGTGTTTATAGAGAACACATGCTTTCTGTGTTCCAAAAATCAAAACAACAACAAACTAAGGTACAATGATTAGGAATTGCAGTTTTTGGTATCTAAATTTACACAGAAACACATTCTATGAGTTGTTGCACTTATCTCACTTACCTTTCAATTTGAAGTATACATAGGAAATGAGCATGGTGGCAGATACCATAAGAGCACACAGGATGACACTTATATCTTCCAACCACAAAGTATCCAATTCAAAATGTGCATCTGAAATAGGAACTGGAGAGAGTTGCAAAAATTAGAATGGTTGCAGCAGAGAAAATAAAGCTGGACTACAGTCTTGGGTTCTATTGCTCTGTGTCTTCTGAAGGTAAAAGTGTGGGAGAGAAGGCTATAAGATAAGTGGTTGGTGTTGAAGTTGGGCTCTGCCGGTGAAACCTAGATGTAGTTGTGAGGAAAGAAAACCTAATCCTCCTGTCATCAGCATTGTGGTAGCTTTGGTTTTCCAGAGTTTGGAGCCTTTTTTGTGCTTTCTCCAATGCAGAGTATGCTCAGATTGCTGTGGCTTGTAGCATATGCCATGTAGTGGGTACTACGCTGTCAGGCTTTGTAAACTTGACAGAAGCAAAGTTCATTGGGGAAGAATGGGCCTAAATTGAGCAAATATGTCTATTAGATTGGCCTGTAGCAATTCTGTGTGAACCTTTCTTATTAATGATTTCTATGGGAGGGTATAGTTCACTGGGAGCAGTGCCACCCCTTAAAATAACCGACTTGGGTGGTACAAGAAAGCAGGCTAAACAATACTTGATAACTGATCCCATATGCAGCATTCCTCCATGGCCTCTGCTTTAGTTCTCGCTTTCAGGTTCCTACTTTGAGTTCTTGACCTAACTTCCTTTAGTGATGGATGGTGACATGAAAGTTGCAAGATGAGATAAACCCATTCCTTCCATTTGCTATTTTATGGTGCTTTAGACAGCAACAGAAATCAAACAAGGATAAATACTGTTAGAGGACCAGACACTCTGAAATAGAAGAGTTTTCACAATTCTCAGAAGTCATAAACACTAGAACTTCATATTTCTATCCTTATTTTCTTCTACCTACCTTTCCATGTCCAGGCCTAGATGGGAACCATACCAAGAGACTTCCTTGGAATAACCCCACACAGCCTCACAGGATTCACAAGAATCGCATCACATGGTTACAAGTGGATCACAGTCACACCAATATCTCCAATCAAAAATCAATGCTAAATATAGTAAGGCTGACCCAGCTACTCCTCCTACGTGACCTGAAATCAACCAAGGCTTGGCAAAAACAAAAGCAGAACCAAATTTTCATCCATAGAAACATAGGTAAACTAGGATCTTATACCAGATACACAGCCAGTAAAACAACTCCTGTGTCTATGTCCCACCACAAAGAAACAAACCATATCTAAGATCAAGACAATATTTCCTCTTGATAAAGTCTACCAATACTATACAAGAGTTCTATAGACAAGTCCTATACTCTCCACATGAGAATCACCCAAATGAAACTAAGAACCTGCATTTTAAAGAATAATCATAAATATAATCAAAGAATTCAATAACTCTAAAGAGAATACAAGCAAACAACTGAATGAACTTATTAGAGGACAGAAAAAAACCTCTCAATTGAAATGCAAGGAAATGCAAACCACTGAATAAAATTATGAAGATAATAGAAGTTTGAAGATCTAATTCAATAAAGAAACATAATTACCGAGAAAAAATTCAAGGGAATGGCTTACCAAGAGACTGAATCAAACAGAAGTCAGAATGTCAGGACTTGAAGGTAAAGCAGAAGAATTGGACCAGTCGGTGAAAGACTGGTCCTAAGAGAGTGGCACTCTTAGATGTGGTGTTGTTGAAGTAGGTGAGCTTTTTTAGAGGAAATGTGTCACTGTAGAGGTAGGATTTGAGGTCTCATATATGTTCAATATACTTCCCAGTGACTCAGACCACTTCCTGATGCCTATGAGATAAGATATAGGATACTTGGCTACTTCTCCAGAACCATGTCTGCACAACATCATATTTCACCATAAACATAATGGACTAAACCTCTGAAAATGTAAGCCACCCCAATTAAGTGATTTCTTTTCTTTATAAGAGTTACTACAGTTATGGTGTCTTTTCACAGAAATTGAAACCCTAACTAAGACAACAATGATAACTTTTTTAAAGCACAGGAAAGGAAATATAGGAATATCAGGGCACTATAAATGATCAACTCTACAAACTGCAAGCATAAAAAAAAAAATCCCAAGTCAATGTCATAGATCAGATTTTCAAATGAATCAGAAAAGAGATGTAACAAAAAATTGAAAAAACCCAGAGACTGATATTGGGGTTCAAACCTCAAGTTGAATATCAGAAGAGCAAAGCAGCTGGTCATTATCTTCTTACCTCTACTTCAGGCTGAATGGGCTGATTCTGCCTCCATGAGCTCTCACCAAGCCTCAGGCTGTAATCTCTCCTCAGTGTGACTGGAGAATGAATGTCTTCTACTGAATAGTGAAGGCCCTGCTTCTACCTTTTATACCCCACTAGTGCTGGCATTAAAGGCATGTGATCTATTACTCTTTTAGACTGACTCAATCTCATATATCCCTGGGTGGCCTTGAACTCAGAGAGATCAGTCTACCTCTTAATCCTGAGTCCTAGGATTAAAACTGTATACCACAACATCCTAGCTTCTGGCTGCTGGGATTAAAGGTATGTTCCTGACTTCCATGGCTTCTGGCTGACTTTGCTTTCTGAATCATCGGACAAGCTTTAATAAATTATAAAGAATATATCACCACAAACAAAAGTTCCACAAATTAAGAAAAGACAAAACATGCAGATACAAGAAATGCACAGAACACCAAATAAAACATGACCAGAAAAGAAACTCTCCATGACATATTACACTTAACACACTAAATATATTAACAAAAAGAGAGTACAGAAGGTAAAAGAGAAAAACTACAAGCCATATATAATGGAAAACCTACCAGAATAACAGATGATTTCTCAAAGGAAACTCTGAAAGCTAGAAGAGTCTGGAAAATGGATACCAAGTTACAAGAGAGTACAAATGTCTACATGGGCAATTATACCCAGAGGAATGATCTGCCATAATTGAAGGAAAACAGGTAAGATTTTCATGATATAAACAGATTAAAATAATTCATGCCCTACAAATGAACTTTTCATAGAGTACTTGAAGCAATACTTCAGGAAGAGGAGAGGAATAAGGATAGCCAAAAAAGTTTTAATTACTGAACCACAAAGCATACTAAAATCACAAACAGTAAACCCCCCAATGACAGCAATGGAGTTCACTAATAATTTCAGATATCAATATCATCAACTCCCCAGTCAAAAGACACGGATTAGTTAAGTGGGTAAGAAACAAACCCCATCTTTTTCCTGTCTAAAAGACGCATTTCTTACCTTAAATAATATGTACCACCCTAAAGTAAAAGAATAGAAAAACATATTCCAAAATGATAAGGCTAAGAAATAAGCAAGAATGCTGTATCAATATGTTACAAAATAGATGTTCAACCAAATTAGTGAAAAGAGACCAAGAGGGTCACTTCATTCTGAGCAAAGAACGTATCTGTTCATCTTTTTACAAATGGATTATAACACTATATACAATGTTCTAAAGGATCACTAATATAATAAAATCATACCGATAATTGTATGTGTTAACTATAGTTTGATTTTAGGCTGTGACCTAATCTCACAAAAGAAAATTGATGGAAAACATTACTGAAAATTCACTCAATTTTGTGACTTCTGTAATGAACTTTGGGGCTACAACTCTGGATTAATATAAAAATTACTACATTTTGTTATTTTCACCTTGCTTCCGTTACACCTATGAAATTGAGGAGGATGCAAACAAAATTGTAGAACAGGTAAGATAGTTCAGGAGCCTATTGATCTTGCAATCCAAACAAGCATCACTTTTCCTTAGCCAAATGTCTTACAAGTGACTAGGTATTTGGTAAAGGGAAGTTTACTAGAAGATTCCATACACCTGATGGTACCTACCTCTTTGTTTCATATGCAACCACACCAGGACTCCTATGACAGTCAACACTGAAAGCACCAGGATCAATATGCCTATGACCCAAGGAGCAGTCCATGTGCACCACCTATCTAAGGAAATAGAGTTATAGTCACTGGTTATGGTGTAAAAGTTCCTTGGGTTTGTAAAGTACATCAAGAAAGTGTTAGCTATAATCTAATGTCATCTCTCTGTGTTTATTAAACACATCATGGCATAGAAGATCAGAGATCTGACAGTGAGTGATATGAAGAAGGGGCAGAGTGCTTTATAGGATAGAGCAGTTCTGGACTGAAATTGACAAGCCGTCAGAAAAAACAAAAGTGTAGGGAGCCGTTTCTACATTCTCTATTACAATGATGGAGCCGTTCCTGCATTCTCCATTACAATGGAGATGGTGTCTGCAGACACCATCATTGTAATAGAGAATGCAGAAACGGCTCCCTACACAAAAGCTCATCTTTCTTTGCTCCCTCTTGTCAATCAGCCTGTAATATGATAATTCTCATTGTAATATTAATTCCACCCCCTTGGAAATGATCCATTCAACATCTTGTTTACAAAAGTTAGTAAAATGTTAGGGGTTCAAAGTGCACCAATAAGAAGCAGTTGAATAAAAGGAGCAGATTTCTATAGTATAGCTCTATTTAGAAATATTTTTAATGTAAATCTCTCAAGAGATGTTTAGAAAACTACATTTAATGCTTGGTGGATGAATAATGGTGAGACACAAAGAATCAGTTCTACATTTTTTTTAAATGTGGGATTTTTGAGATAATATAATTATATATTTTTCTTCTTCCTAAGTCTCCCTCCAAACATTCCCATAATGCCCCTCTTCTACTGATATCTTTAAGATACATGGACTATTTTTTAATTGTTGTTACATACATACATGTGCATATACCATAGGAGCCCTTAGGCTATAATACTGGCATGCATGCCTCAGTGGGAATGAACAACTATATAACATTACTTAATACCTGTTCAACAAGAGAGAATCATCTCTGTTCCTGGAATCCTAGTCAACCTTCCAGGACTAGTGAAATCATGGACCTTTAGGAGAACCTAAAATGTTTACTTTACTAACTAAACCTATGTAATATCTACCTACATTCTAAGTATCTTTCCTTATATTTACACTTAAAAAAATCAGACTAGGGATATAGCTCAGTTAATAGACTGTGTGCTTACTATAAATAAAGCACTGGGTTCCATTCCTAGTATTAATTAAAATCATATTTGCAGCACATATCTATGTCTTAGTGTTAGGAAGTTGCAAGGAAAAAAAAAACGAAATTCAAGGTCATTCCGAAGAATAATAAATTTGTAGTCAGTCTTGTCCACATGTCTTTCAATCACACTTCCCTACATCCCTTAGATGCAATTGTAGAAAATGAAAGCTACTTGAGTACACTAGCAAGCTCAGGCTAGAATGCCAGTTTTAAATGTCATCAGGAAATTTATGGACTAAAGAGAAGTTTGAGACCACTAAGATTGAAACCCTTCCCTGATGGCTAAACTACTTATAGAAGTAGATCTAGGAGGCCTAATTGTACTCTTTCAAAAGAAATCTGTATTTGAGGTTTTTTTTAAATTGAGAGAAACCCCAAATCCAAGGCAGATTTTTTTATGATATAACTATAGCAATCCTTCCATGATCTTCTCCTGAATGAAGTACAGTTGAGAATGGATGAAAATTTTGTCTTCTATTGTAAGTAAATCACCAGATGTCACATTTAGTACCCTTCGTATGGTGATATATTGTTTATGATTTAATAAAGCTTGCCTGGGGATCAGAATGCAAAGCCAACCACAGTTAGTTAGCCATAGAAGCTGGCAGTGGTGGCACATATCTTTAATCCCAAGACTCAGGAGACAGAGGCAGATAGATCTCTGTGAGTTCAAGGCCACCCAGGACTACATGAGAGTGATTCAGTCTAAAAGAGTAACAGAGCTCATGCCTTTAATCCCAGTCTAGATTGTTACATAAGGTAGAAGCAAAGGGTCTCATATGAGATTTAGTTTCCAGGCACATGGACGACAGGATCTGTATTTCAGCCTTGGTAGAGGTAAGTGCTACAGTCTGGTTGCTTTGTTTTTCTGATCTTCAGCTTAAACTCCAAATCTGTATCTAGGTATTTAGAATTCATGAAACACCTTCTCTCTGTGTTCTATTCTCCCTTTGCTGTGAAAGACGTCCTCTGTTTAGTCATTTTACCATGTACAATTGAGGACATTACTGTAAACCCTGACATGATCATTGTATCCCCAAAGAAACGAATGACAAACCTATGAGGATGGCATTACATTTTAAAATGTTCTCCAGGTTAGTTTAGGTCTCTAACATAATAGGGCAAAGAAATTCCAACATGATTGAGGTTCTAGGACTCCAAGTTTTGTAAACAGCTTTGCCAACAGCTCCAGCAGAAAGATAAGAAATCTAGGAACAAGGAGTAACTAAGGACGTGCATCTAACTGATGATTAGTGCATTATAAACAGAAAGGCTTGGGAATCAATGTTCCTTCAGTTTTAGCAACCAGCCCCCCACTTTCCCACTTTACATCTCCCATCTTTCAACCCACTTACTTTGTTTTCTGATATATATCTGACAACTAGAATCCATTACAGAGAACACCATCACAAATAATATCACACTCAAAATCATTTTCCATTTCCTATTCCATGAAAAAAATGCATCTGAAATAGATGGTTACAAATATTAGAATGTAGGAAATATCAAGTGTTTGTACCCATCCCATAACAAATGATGATGCCTGCAATGTATGTTTCTATTTAAGATCTCATATCACTCATATTCGATATAATACACTTTAGGGAAAATTATTGTGGGCCCAATGAAAAGCATGGCAGGGCTGAAATTAAGCTAAGCCCAGTATGAAATAGTGTAAGATTCAAGTTGTAAATAAGTAACAAATATCTCCCATTTTCTTTGTTTTTTATATATGTACATATTATAGATATACTATATACATATGTGATTTATATGTGTTTCTATACACATAGTATGTCATATATATGTATGTTGTGAGAGAGTATGTGCATGCATACGCGTGCGCACACACACACACACACACATGTATATGTATACATAAATGCTATGAACTCTGGAATGAGGCTAGATTATTGAAATTTTGTTTATATCTTGGAGTTATTTATCTTCCTGTTTCTGACACAACTATAGTACAAAGCTTTACTTTCTTATTGAAGATTTAATTGAATAAGAAAATGAACTGGAGTGAAAAATGAATGCAGAGATATTTTGAAGAAACTAAATTGTCTAAAGTGTTAGGCGAGTTATCCCTATATAATTCTTTTGAATTTTCATCATGCCTCTCTTCATGTCAATCTTACATTGGTATCATATACACATATAAGCAACTGACACATGCATGATTATTTGCTAGTTTATAAGGTACACTTTAAGTTTTATTTCAATTCAGTTATTTCAATTGGTTTTGTTTGAAGATAATATGGTATAAAATATTTAAAACAGTTTACACATATCAGTATATACAGCCAACAAAGATTTACTTTTATGCTTTTGAGATATAGGTAGGTAAGGGACAATAATGTAATTAAGTTAAACAGTAGGTTAAAGGGAAATAATTCTTAAAAAATAAGAAATGGTGAAGTAACAGAATACCGGGTGTGTAGAGGAGAGAGATCATACGCTTTTAGGTTTTCTTGTCTATGTAGTCTTTAAGACAGTTTATAGTTGAGCAGAAGACAGTTAAAAGAAATAGGGAGTGAGTGTGATTTATAGTATGCTGAGAATAAACGACATCCATAGTGAAGACCTGAGGGTAAGAGTTAGTCTTTATGGATGAAAAGAAGCAGAGTTCATGTGAGTAGATTGGTGTGGAAAATTGAAGCTTATAGAAGATGAGATCAAATAAGATAATGGGCAAATACAACACAGAACACCGTGAGACATTTTATTCTGGAAAAAATGGGGGAAATTTTCAAGAACTTGAACAGAGAGTAATGTTTCATGACTACTTTTTAATAAGTCTTTTCTCCTATTGGTTGATTGTATATAATCATGAGCAAAAGTAGCACTGGGAAATTTGAGGATCCAATTGCTAAAACTGAGCATGGATGATGGAGTCTTACAACTGGATGGCAGGGGTAATAGTGATCAAAAATGATCATGAAGAATACAGTCATCAACTTGACTACTCCCATTTTTTTCTCTGCCCTTTTATTTTATGAGTTGCTCTTTCTCTCTACATATCTTGAACTCCAGGAACATAGGTCTGAAAAACACCCTGCACCATAAAGAGATTTCCCTCTAGTCCTAACAAAGCAACAACTTTCTTGACACCATTATCATGATGTCTTCCTCAAAAAACCCTCAACTCTTTTATTTATTCATCCTTGTCTATGTAATCTGACAGCAGCTGATACTACTAGTGAGATGCAATCAGATTTGTATTTGACTCCACTAAAATTAAATTTCCATATCATATATTACCATCAACATCTTTTTCTAAATTTTATTCAGCTTATAAATTTATCTATTTGTGTGTTTGTATGTGTGTGTGTGTGTGTGTGTGTGTGTGTGTGTGTGTGTGTGTGTGTGTGTGTACACGCTCATGTATGTACATCAGGAAGTCAGGGGACTACTGTGTGAAGGGGTTCTTTCTTTGAACCATGTGAGTCCCTTGGTTCAAACACAGTTCACTCATCATCAAGATCTTTTTCTGTTTTTCATTTGAAATACAGGACTGAATCTAGATCATCAAATCCAAGAATCAAATTTATGCTTTGGGATTACAGTAACAATGAGTCTCTAAATACATTTTAAAAACATCTACCTCCATACAGAAAGAAGTTAAGAATTACTTGAAGAATTTTGTTTAGAGAAGCTGAATATATGATGTGTAATTTGGAAGGCAGTGAATTAATCAAGCTTCATCCTTGTTGACTAGCTTGTATAGTACTGGAAGCTTCCACACAGGTGGCTGGAAGAAAAGAGACCAATGGTCCTGCCCTATTCTTAACTCTGCATACTAGAATACTGAAGTTTTATGTAAGCTGTACATACTGGGGCAATAGTGGTACAACTTTAATGAGGTAAACTGTTTTCTGATTTTGTTTGACACCTGCTCCACAGGAGGGAATTTCATCCCTAATACCACAATCTTGGTCAAAAGCTCCTTACTCAGAAACTCATTAGCACTAGTGTATTATATGTTATTGTTATTTTTCTCAGTGTTTATGTTGACTGATTGTTGAAGATTTTGGAGCTTTATACAACTACACCCAGTTGTTTTCTAAATAATTATATTTACACTCACAAACCTACATTCTTCACAATCTTGGTCAGAGGCATTTCCTTTGCAATGGGAAATAGCCAATGGTCAAAATTCTGAGAAAAAGAAACTGAGTACTCAGTTCCTAAACATAACATCTGTATTAGTCCCACCATCATTAAGGCTCAGGAAACATTTGAGAAGTGAGGGCAGAAAGAATCTAAGAGCCAGAGGATGGGGATGAGAGTACTCTAAAATGAATTCTTTTGGATATGGTATGGATGTTGCCCACAAGAATGCATAGTCACTGGACCAGACCTTCATGAGATCAAGTCAGTTAAAATCCTAGCAGAGATGGGGTCAGTGACCTCCAGGTCCCATCCCAAACTGTGGAACAATTTGCAGTAGATAGTTTCTGAGAGAAAGTAATTCATTATCTGGTTAGGATGTAGCCACTTAGAGGTTTCACATGGTCCAGTGGATGCCCCCACAGTCATTCACATATGGGAAGCACTAAATGGACATAGTTGGTTATAATTACAAAAAGGATATGGAGTTGGAAGATGTTAGTCTGAGTGTGGAAATCAGGATGCTTGACCTAGTAACATGAAGTGGAATTTATTAGGAGAACAGAACTTACACAGGAAACAAATGGTTGTGTTGAAAAGGATAAGGGGGTAGCTGAAAAGAGGTAGATATAATAATACTTCACTGTGTGTGTGTGTGTGTGTGTGTGTGTGTGTGTGTGTGTGTGTGTGTGTGTGTGTGTGTGTAAAATATCCCCAAATAAAGAAATTTTTAAACTACCATAGAATACCATTATATAGTAGGCAAATTGAAATCAAAGAATGTGGAAAAGACAGTAATCAAGATAAGATAATATGATGGATAAAACTAAAATAAACTAGTGCTTTGGAAACCAAGTCAATTAGGAAAATGAACATTCTGTTTAGCTTTAAATTATCTGAAATAGTTGATACTAAAGAAAAAAATACTCAAACTTTACCTGATATGGCAACACTGGTCCTTTGCTCTTGGCCTGTCAAAGGGTTCTGAAGGTAGCAAGTGACTTTTGGGGAGGAACTGTCTCTAATGAGAAGAATCATCTTTATATTGAATAGTTTGCCTTCATCCTGAGAATGAGATTTTGTTGCAGCTGGAATGACCTCTCCTCTGCTGTCCCTCCATTCCATGAGAGGCTTTGGGAACCAACCTCCAGAGTTACATTCCACTATTACACCTTTGGTATTGGGAGGATGAACATGAATCTGTACCTGCAAGCCCACAGCTGGTGGGGAACACCGGGATAAAACAGCATTTTTAAGTGAATGAAATGGGAAATAGAACCCCCCATTTTAACTGATTACTAAAGCCTGAAGAGTCAGGGAATCTTTGCTTGGTATATATGTTAGAAATCTGGCAATTTGTGTAAACCTAAAACAGAATTTACTGATAAGACTTGATGTGCATACAGCCATAATATTATTTTTGAACTAATTAAAAAATTATAAAACTGATTTTGGTAATCAAACAATGTAATATAGACCCAGAAACACTGAAAATTTCCTAATCTTCAAATGCTGACATATTGAGAATGTGAATTCATAGAAACCTCAGAAAGATCCATGCCTACCTGTGACCTTGACCTCTGTGATGTGCTCTTCATAAAAATTGCTGTCTTTGAAGACACAGTGGTATGGCCCATCATCATCAACAGTCACATTAAAGATCCTGAGGGTCACTCTTCCTTCTCCAATGGCATCTTTAAGGAGTTCTGTCCGTTCCACATACTTCAAGATAGTTTCTCCATATATGTCTTTACCATCCCTGTAAAGGTGTACTGGCTGTGTATAATGGTGCCGGAACCAACGAATCTCCATGTGCTGTGCATCTTGTGATGGGAATAACTGACAGCTGAGTTCAAGGTTTCCACCCAATGGAGCCACAACTGGCCCTTCTAAGCCAGTCACCATGAATTTCTCTGGGAAGGAAAAAAAGAACTTAAAGTAGCAGCGACAGGACATAACTTTTATTTAAAACAGTCTCTCCCTATTACCCTCTGTCTCCCTCTCCTCCTCTACCTCTGCCTGTTTCTCTTCAACACAAAAGAGAAAAAATTCCTTCATGACTAGCTACTTAATCCCAAAGATACTTTAATTTAAAATTTAACTGATTTAGTATTTGATGTACTTTATAATAAACTTGTATAAATTTATGCTTCATTTCTGGTAAAGTTAGACAGAGCTTCTTGAATTGCATAGTTCTTATCTTTTTTCATGTCTGCTTAATTATTACTCATTGAATGTTTATTCATAACCCTTCTTAATTCATTATATATAATGAATTATATATATATAATTACCCTGTAAGTATTCCCCAGGTAAAACATATCTTTGGGTTTTTTGTTTTGAATTTTGCCTTTTGATACAAGGTGGTTACATCCGATTCTCTGTCAGGTTAGAGATTCAAAAATTGTCAACTTTGACATTGAATCACTAATTGGAATAAACGGTGGGAATAGAAGATATTTTATAGTGTTAATTTCTGTTCTGTCAAACTTACTAAATGTAAGAAGAAAAACAAAGTTGATTATCTTAGCATTATGATTTTTCCAATAAGAAACTTGCTAAAATTTGTATTTAAGCAAATTGATAAATTGTTATTTAAATAGTGAAATTGTTTTTCATAAGGAATAAAATAAGGTCTTAAATGTTTATTTGGCGATGTTCTTTTTCTTTCAATTTTGTGGAATAATTTAAGGAGTATTGCTATTAACTCTTTTTTGAAAGTTTGGTAGAATTCTGTGCTGAAACCATCTGACCATGGGCTTCTTTTGGTTTGGATATTTTAATGACTGCTTCTATTTTCTTAGGAGTTATAGGAATAATTAAATTGTTTATCTGATTTTAATTTAATTTTAGTAAGTGGTATCTATCAAGAAATTAGTAGGTTTTTTTTTTAAAGATTTTTCCAGTTTTGAAGAGTACAGGTTTTGAATCATGACTTGATGATTCTCTGGATTACCTCAGTGTCTGTTGTTATACCCCCTTTTCATTTCTTTCTCTTTTTTTTGGTTTTTCCAGACAGGGTTTCTCTGTGTAGCTTTGGAGCCTATCCTGGCACTCGCTCTAGAGACCAGGCTGGCCTCAAACTCGCATAGATCCGCCTGCCTCTGCCTCCTGAGTGCTGGGATTAAAGGCATGAGCCCACCAGTGCCCTGCTCATTTCTTCTTTTGTTAATTTGAATATATTCTCCATGTCTTTCAGTTAGATTGTAAAAGAGTTTGTCCAGCTTGTTGATTTTCTCAAAGAAGCAACTATTTGTTTCATTGATTCTTTGTATTGTTCTCCTTGTTTCTATTTTGTTGATTTCAGCCCTCAGTTTACTTCTTGCCATCTACTCCTCTTTGGTATGTTTGCTCCTTTTCCTTCTTGAGCTTTTAGAAGTGCTGTTATGTAACTAGTATGAGATTTCTCCAATGAGAATTCTCTATGTGGACATGCAGTGCAATGAACTTTCCTCTTAGCAATGCTTTTATTGGGTCCATAAGTTTGGGTATGTTGTACATTCATTTTCATTGAATTCTAGAAAATCATTGCCTTTTTTATTTCTTCTTTGACTCAGTGGTAACTTAGTTGAGATTTATTCAGTTTCCATAACTTTGTAGGATTTCTGTAGTTTGTGTTGTTGTTGAACTACAGCTTGAATCCATGGTGATATGATAATATAGAATGGATTATTCCAATTCTTTTCTGTCTTTTGAGACTTAACTCTGTGAACAAGTACATGTTTGATTTTGTAGAAGGTTTCATAAGGTGCTGAGAAGAAGGTATATTCTTTTGTGTTTGTGTGAAATGTTCTCTAGGTATCTGTTAGATCCATTTGAATCATAAAATGTTAGTTGTTTCTCTGATTGATTACTCTCTGGATATCCTGTCCATTATCGAGAGTGAAGTGTTGAAGTCTCCCACTCTTAATGTATGTGGTCCAATATGTGATATAAGTTTTAGCAATGTTTTAATACAGCTGTGGGTGGCTTTGTATTTGAGGCATAGATGTTCAGAACTGAGACACTGTCCCTGGTGGATTTTTCCTTTGATGAGTACAAAAAAATTCTTCTCCATCTCTTTTGATTATTTTTGGGTTGAAGTCTATGTTGTTAGATACTAGGATAGCTACACAAGCTTTCTTCTTAGGTACCTTTGATTGGAAAGATATATTCTGTTTTTATATCTGTTCTGTTAACCTTGTTTTTTATTGGTGAATTTTAAGTCCATAGATATTGAGAGATATTATTGATCAATGGCTACTGTCAATTTCTGTTATGGTGTTATTGTTGTTGTTGGTAGTAGTACCAGTGGTAGTAGTAATTGTGTGTGTGTGTGTGTGTGTGTGTGTGTGTGTGTGTGTGTGTGTGTGTGTTGCCCCTCTGGATTTTTCTAGTATTGGATTTTTCTTCACCTGTGTTATCATGGATTTAGATAACTTCCTTGAGTTAGAGTTTTCCTTCTAGAATCTTCAATAGAGATGAATTTGTGGATGGACATTGTTTAAATTTGACTTTGTCTTGAAATATCTTGTTTTCTTCATCTATGATGATTTAAATTTGCTGGATATAGTAATCTAGAATAACATCCATGATCTATTAGAGTTTACAGAACATCTGTCCAGCCCCTCCTGGCTTTTACAGTCTCCACTGAGAAGTCAGGTATAATTCTAATAGATAAATGCTTGTATATGTTATTTGGCTGGTAGCAAACCAGCAGCCAATATAAAATTAAATGGAGAGAAACCCAAAGGAATTACACTAAAATCATGGACAAGACAAGTAACATATAAAACCTTTGCAGCTTTTAATATTCCTTTTCTATTCTGTATGTGTAGTATTTTGATTATCATGTGGTCAGTGGACATTTCTTTCTGATCCAGTCTATTCAGTGCTCTGTAAGCTTATTGTACCTTTATAGGCAGGCCCTTCTTTAGGTTGGGAAATTTTCATGAGGCCACAATCACTCTGATACACAAACCACACAAAGATACAACAAAAAAGAATTACAGACTAATATCCTTTATGAACATCGATACAAAAATAATCAATAAAATACTTGCAAACTGGATTTAAAAAAACTCATCAAAAAGATCATCCACCATGATCAAGTAGGAGTCATCCTAGAGATGGGGCAATGATACAATTTATGAAAATCTGTCCTTGTAATCCACCATATATAAACAAACTAAAAGAAAAAAACCCACATTGATCATCTCATTGGATGCTAAAAAGACTTAGACAAAATCTAACACCCCTTCATGACAAATGTATTGGAGAGAATATGGATACAAGGAATATACATAAACATAATAAAAGTCATGCATTGCAAGCCAGCAGCCAATATCAATATAAATGGAGAGAAACTCAAAGCAATTCTATTAAAATCAGGGACAAGACAAGGCTGTCCATTCTCTTCATATCTATTCAATATAGTACTTGAAGTGTTAGCTAGATCAATAAGACAGCTAAAGGAGATCAATGGCATACAAATTGGAAAGGGAGGAGTCAAAGTACAACTATTTGCAGATGATATGATAGTATATGTAAGTGACCAACAAAATTCTACCAGGCAACTCCTACTGCTGATAAATATCTTCAGTGAAGTGGCTGGATACAAGATTAACTCAAAAAATATTTGGCCCTATTATATATAACTTATAAGCAGGATTAGAAAGAAATCAGGCAAATAACACTCTTCATAATAGCCACAAATGTCAGTAAAAAGTGTCTCAAGCTAGTGCAGGATATGATACACTTACAGCAGGTAGTAATTGATAGTTCAGATGTCAGCCCACCAGAGGAATGATTCTCTGTTGGAGGAAGCCTGTCAGGTATGATCTGCAGGGCCACAGACTCTGAAAACTGTTGCTCCTGTTTGTAATCTTTCTTATGCAAATACAGATATTGCATTTCCATTACCATGCTTTTCATGTAATGTTTACATGTAATCTAGTGATTACATCTCAATCTTAATGGCATATATATTTGTCCATAGTCAGGAAGATGATTTATTTCTATATTAAATCATTCTGGTAAATAAAACAAGCTCTCCACATTACAGTGAGAAACTTAGAAACATGGTCTCTACACTTGTCTTACTGACAGAACAATTTGGCCAAACAACATGTCCTTCTGGAGAGGTCAAATGGAACTTTCATAAATTTACTTATTGTATAAAATTTCAGGGGTCTGTTCTTGTAGGATCAAAGTCTTTCAGAAGATTTATAGCAAACTAAAATAGATTCACAGGTGTCTGATCAAGGTTTTTATACAAAGCAGCCTAAAAAATCATGCCAATTCTTCACTTGCCAAGTCTAGCTGATAAAAGACCTATCTAACCCATCTAAGACTCAAACATTATCTAACTGGCCATTGTTACATTGAGCTCTTATCACAGTCTTATTCCTGAAACCTGAAACTTGTGTTGCCCTGGTAAATGGTTCTGCCCTTATCATTTACCCAATGAGATGTAACTTGTGATTGCTTCAAGCCTCCTGAAAAAAAGTGTATTTAAGCTAGATGAACAAGAATCAGGAGAAATTGGAATTGGAATTAGACTTGGAACTAAAAAAATAGAGCTAAGAAATTAAAGACCATTATGACAAGAGATTAGAATTAATGAAGAATAAAAGAAAATGACCCTCACATCATGCATGTGAGCATTTACCCCTCAGATTAAAAATATCATAAGTTCCATTTACTTCTCTGTGTCTTTTGACCTGTATCATGGAGGCAGCTTTGCAGAGCAAAACTCTCAAGGCACCAATACACAGATAATATAAAATATGTTGGGGATAACTCTAATCAAGCAATTGAAAGACCTAAATGACAAGAACTTCAAGTATTTGAAGAAAGCAATTGCAGAAGTATTAGAAAATAGAAAGATCCCATTTTCATGGATTTGTAGAATTAACATAGTAAAAAATGGTCA